ATACATACCATCAGGTTCAGGGTGGATATGTAACCAAATTAGAGCTAGAATGAAGCAAGAAGGCATTTGTCAGACTTATGGGGAAAAGATTTTCAGGCTCTGGATTTGCATAATGTTCAAATGATAAACATTAGGTGGAGCAGTTAGAAGATGAAGCTGACCCTCAGAATCAGCAGTCAAAAGATGGATTCTGGTGATATTGTTAGAACCTGAAGACAGCCCGAAAGCCTGCCTCTCTTGGGGATTTTTAGTTATAAGAGCCAATACATTTTCTTTTTGTTTTTACCCTTTTAAGTTGAGTTCTTAGTCGCTTGCAACCTAAAGAACTCTAAACAGGCATTTATATTATTTTCAAAAATTTGGCTGTTATAAATAATGCTACAGCTAATATCCCCACACTGTTAGCTCTTTGGAGTATCTTCAGTTATTTTAGTGTTAATTCCTAGAAGCAGAAGTCGTTTTAATTCTTGAGCATGATTGTCTGGTTCTGTTTTCTGTATCATGTCTGGCAGATCTGATTCAGTTACAAATTGATGTAGATTGAATAGTTTATTAGCTTGAACTAATGGTAGTATAATATTTTTTTCTTTATGTCTATAGTCTCCTTTAACCTATAATAGTTCCTCAGTCTTTTTTTTTTTTTTTTCCTTTTTCTCCCCAAAGCCCCCCAGTACATAGTTGTATATTCTTAGTTGTGGGTCCCTCTAGTTGTGGCATGTGGGACGCTGCCTCAGCGTGGTTTGATGAGCAGTGCCATGTCCACGCCCAGGATTCGAACCAACGAAACACTGGGCCGCCTCCAGCAGAGCGCGGGAACTTAACCATTTGGCCACGGGGCCGGCCCAAAAGTCACAAGATAAATTTATTTCCAAGATATTATTTATTCGAAAACTCCCCTCCTGAATAAGTGAGGGCTGTGGGTGCTTCCTGGGGTTGGGATCAGCCTCTGCTGTTGTATGGGAGAGGCTTGAATATGGCCATTGAATTTCACAATGTAGAGTCAAGGGAACTCTGAAAAGCAAAGTTCAAGTTGTAGGGGACATTGTGGTTGTTTCCTCAACATCCGTTCCCCCTTCTCTTGGTCACCTGATTTTCATTTGAGTTTCTACTCCTTTTAGACTCAGCCCATGTGTTTGTGAGAACTTGGCTTCACTCCCGTCTCTAGGAAAGGAGCTGCATGTGCAGCAACATAATCCTATCCCCTGGCCAAGATTTTGGTTCAGAAATGACAGATAGGCTGATTTGGGCCAAAGATACTGGAAAAGGTAACATCTAAGACAGAATCTCTCTTTATCTTTCTCATCTTCTGGGTTGTTTTGTTCAGATAAGAAGCCTGGGAGTGCTCCAGCCATACTGCTACTATGAGTGAAGTTGGCCTTAGGATAAAGCTGATGACGTACAAGAGAAAGCAAAGAGAGTTAGAGTAGATCTTAAGTGTTCTCACTACAACAAAAAACAAAAATAAAAACCACAGGTAACTATGTGAGGTGACAGATGTGTTAATTAGCTTGACCGTGGTAATCATTTCACAATGTATATGTATATCAAACCATCACGTTGTACACCTTAAATATATGCAGTTTTTATTTGTCAATTATACCTCAATAAAGCTGGAACAATAAAAGAGTGAGGACATTTTTTAGCCACTGAATCAGTAACTCAGAATTCTGACCTACCACCAGATTCCAGTCAATAAACAGAATCAATAAACTCTCTGTTTTATGAAAGTAAATTTGAGTTGGATTTTGTGTCACTTGTAATGTAATGCATGCTGCCTGATACAAGGGGTAAGGAAAGAACTTAGACTAAGAAGATAGGTCAAATGGTACACCAGTTTGAAAGAGTTGTTCTGAGAAGCAGAGACTAGGACTGTGGCACAGGACAGGAACTGGAGACATTAAGGTAGAGTCAGGAGAGTTTAGAATGTTGGGTGGGAGAGGATAGAGCAGGGAGAAATTATCTGAGTTGAGGGGCTGTTTTTGCAGGTGAGAGGAAAAAACTAAGGACACCAAGCTGGATCAGAGTTTCTGGGTGCTTGTGTTACACATAGACTCAGCTCTGAAGAAGGAGTCAAGAAAAGGACCTTACTATCATCACCTTTGGCTTTGAAAACCAGATATCTGTTTAGATGAATGCAGACCACAAAATGTGAAGGCTGACTTGTTATTAAAATGTGTTACGATTTCCACTTCCTCCTGTAAGAATGAACTGCTACAGGAATTTCTTTTCCATCATAAATAACTAGAAAATCAAACAAAATATATATATATGGCCGAACTATTTTCAGATATTGGGCAACTGATAGTCCAGGACTGTAAACCCTAATAGAAAGTAAACAAATAAGATAAAGTTTGTGATTATACCACTTTTCTTCCTAGAGGCAGTTTCTAGTTCACAGTAGAATAGGGAAAGACAATCAAATCTGAGCCTGGTGACCTTATTGCGTTGAAGTGGCAGATCAGTTTAAGAAAGTCTAGGCAGTTAGAATTTGTGTGCAGAG